CAGCAGGCTGACATTGTTTTTGCAAAGTAAATTGCTAAGCACTCCAAATAACAGGCTTTACCTTTATTACAGCTTGCTTGTTTTGTCACCATTTGGGAGGATGTTTTGGGAATGAGATAACTAGCTTTAGGATGGAACAAGCTCTGCCATACTGTCAGTAATTTGGCTTTGGAGGGGATTTTAAACAAGCAGCCTTGCACTGCTTTGTTGCACTTCTTTAGTCTGCACAGTTCCATGGCAATTTAGGCCAGAAACTTTGCAACCTTGGATTCAAAGTTGAAAACAAACTCTGGGAGCAGGGGGCAATGTGAGGGGTAGGTTCATTTTCAGGCCTCTATCGGAACATAATTTGGTATTACCATACTTATATATACTCTAGTGTTTAAGGAGCTCTTGTTATGTCCCAGGACCCTGTTGTGCACAAGATAGCAGGTGGATACAGAGAGATGAGGGACTCGAGAGAACAGTGAGCCACAGCTGGACAGACAGCAGTCTCAGCATGGCAGGGTATTGATTTGGGGATAATTCCCTTCTTCACTTACAATATGCATTTTCTAGGTACCGGCTCCATTTATTTATTTATTATAGTTATAGGCCGTGCTCCCCTGCTGTATAAAATTGACCAGGGTTTTGGGGCAACTGCAAAAGATCCCCCCTTATAGGATTTCTCCCTGGCTTTCTACAGAGCCCAGCCTGTGCTAGGGCAAGGCTGGTGACAGGTCAGTTCAGGCAGGAACAGTGAAGCCTAGGTAGCCATGCCCTTCTTTGTGGCATCCTCTGGAGCCCAGTTTAGATGTACCAGTGAGTGGAATTGATTGACTTGAAGGGTGTTTTGCAGCCAAGGGAGAATGGAGTAAGGGCCCGTCTACCTCCTTTAGGTACCAGGTGCCCTGGGGTGGAAGGAGGCTTTTTTTAACCTGGGCTTTGTCCTAGGCGGGGAGGGAGGGATGGGCTTTTGCAGGCAGGCTCCTTGTTCCTCAGGGGAGAGCAGAAATGAGGGAAGCACTTATCCAAGAAGCACACTCTCCAGACAGGTGGCTTGGTAAGCCACAGTGCAGTTACTCAGGCAGGGACACAGTCTGGGGATGAGCTGAAGGAGGAAGGGCTGTTTATAGCCCTGTCCTCAGATGGACTTTGACACCACATCATGAGGAGGGGGCAGGACTGAAATGGGGATAGAGAGAGCTAATGGAGAGAAGGAAAGTGCAGAGGAGGAAAGGAACGGTCATATTTCCAGCTCAGTGACTGCCAAGACCTCATTGACAGCAGGGTGAGAGGGACAGGAGTCAACCCAGAGAGAAATACAAGAAGGTGTGTTGGGAGCTAGGAAGGTGGCTGCTTCTGTCCTAGGAGCTGTGTATAACCTGATTCCAGACACCAACCTGCAGTGAAGTGCTATAGCCTTTTTTTTCACGGTTTGCTCTCCCCTTACCAGGCTCCTACCAAAAGCCTCAGGAGGACCAGCAAGGCAGAACTATCCTGGGCCTCCCCTACTTGGTAGTTTTTTTAACTGTGCCTGGACCAAGTAGGGGTCAAAACATTCGCACCAGGTGGTGGTGGGGATACTATTTAGCATGTATCTAGATTAAATGAGCTTTGGCCCAAGAGACCTTGTGTTCCCTCTAAGCGTCTTATTTAGGTAGTCTATAAAGGTGTATGTCTACACTGCCTTCTGGCCCACTTCAGACTAACATGGCTAACTACCTTTCCATATATCTAAATGGATCTAACATGGCAGTGGGTAGGTAGGCCCAGTGTCTGCCTAGGCAGTGATTACAAGGGGTGTCTATACACACGCTTTGGGGTGGAAGGGGAGCTGCTTTAATTAGAGAGGCTCCAAGAGCCTCTCTAATTAAAGCACCTGCAGCATCATTCAGCATCCTGCCCTTCAAAATGGTGCTGGGGGCACTTGAACTAAAGTTAGTTTGATGAGCACCCCCACTGCCATTTTGAAGTGTGTGGACACTGAATAGACATGAGACAGAGGCTTCTGGAGTGCATTAACTAACACACTCCAGCAGACTTGATTAATTGAGTCTGCTCTGATGAGTGCTAACTAGCAAACGTTGGAGCAGATGTCTGTCACGTGTATAGGTGTCCAAGAGTGTCAAATCCCAATGCAATGTGCTGTGTCCAAAGCAAGCAGGCAGCTTTCCCTCAGAAGGCCTGGTGTGCGTGTGACCTTGTGGTTGACCAGCTTCCATTCTCCTAACCCAGGCCTCTATGTAGGGCACTGATTCTCAACCAGGGTGTCGTAACTCCCTAGGGTGCCTTGAGATTCTTTCAAGGGTGCCACACAATCTTAGTACTATTAAGCGTGCAGACATGAGTCACAAAATAAACCCAGAGATTTCATAAAAGAATCTATAGTATTAAAAGCATTCTGCCCTGTGGTGGGCTTTCTGAGTTCTGTGCAACAGAAGAATTACTCAGTTATGTTTCTGTAGTCAAAATTCGAGTAAAAACGAAGAGCTGGCATTTTCTGAGCGGTGCCTAAAGTCTAAAAAGGTTGAGAAGCAATGGTGTAGGGCAGGGGCAGGCAATTATTTTGACTGGAGGGCAGCTTAATGAGTTTTGGTGAGCTGTGGAGGGCAATAAAAGTAGCCCCACCCCTTGACAAGTGTCCCACCCCCTGGTTGCCATCTTGGGACCAGAAGTCCTGCCCCCTAACCTCTGACCTTTGCCACTGGAAGTCCCTCCCTTTGCCCCCAGAAGTAGTCCTTTTGGGCAGGGGGTTTGCCATCTTGGAACCAGAAAAAAACCCCAAATTATATACTGAAAATCAAACATCCACAATAATATATTAATTTTATTTTTTAAAATGTTTTGTCCTGATTTGTGTGCATCTGCCCAGTGTATATAGAGGTGATTGCATAATAGTTCAAAATGAAGTCTTGATTTTTTATATTGAGGGGTGTGGGTGGGTGGGTGGGTGAGCATGGGTTTGTGGGGGTCTGTGGGTGTGTGTGTGGATATGTGTGCACGTGGGGTGTGGGGGTGTGTGTGGATGTGGTTGGGTGGGCATGGGGGTGTGTGTGTGGGTATGGGGTTTGTGGGACCTGTGGGGTGTGTGGAGGGGGAGGGTGCCTGGGAATGTATGTGGGTATGTGTGTGCGGTGGGGTGTGTGTGCGTAGCAGTGAGCGAGGTTCCCTCCAGAGGCACATGGGTGTGTGTATGGGGTTTGTGGGGGAGGGTGTGGGTAGGTGTGGTGTTTGTGGGATATTTGTGTGGGGGAGGGTACAGTTGTGAGTTTTGCGGGAGAGGGTTTGTGGGTATGGTGGGGTATGCATGGGAGTACCCTGTGCGCACCCCCCTGAGCTGGTCAGCACCCACCCCTGCCCCGCAACAGCCCATGCATCTGTGGTGCCTTCCCGTCACTGCCAGCGGTGCATAGATTCAGCCCTACCCTGCCCTCTGTGCCCACTCCACCCTGTCTGGCCATGGTGTGTCCTGCCACCTCTAGGCATGCGACAGGGCTGGGGCGGCTCTGCAGCGGGATTGCTTTTGTAGGTAGCTCAGGTGTTGGTGGCTCCTTCCAGCTGCCACTGGTCCAAGCCCTGTGGTACCAGTGAGGACCCATGTATGCAGCCCCAACCATGCCTACTCCAGACTCGCCTGTCTGGGCTGAGCAGCAGTAGCAGTAGTGGCTCCAGGCATAAACTGTTGCTCAGCACAGGGGGAAAATGCGCCTCCCTCCACCCACCACCGGGCAGTTTTTGCTGCAACCACCTGGAGCCCGTGCCATGCCAGGCTGCCCTGCATCTACACTGCCATCACCACCACCTCTGGGCTGCCCAGCACAGCAGAGGTGACAGTGCAGGGCAGCCCAGTGCAGCACAGGCTCCGGGTGCCTGCACCAAGAACTCAGAGGAAAACATTTTAAAATCTTATCTGGGTTCTTTATTACCACATATTGATTTAAAAAAATACTAATTTAAATGAAGGATAAATCTATCTTACCAAGTAAAAACTCTTAGAGAGATAATGCCAGGCGGTGAATTTGGCTCTTTTTGTCCTCAGCACGTACCACACAGGCAGCAAGAGTAAAAGGGTAAATTCACTCACATTGCTACCACTGTTGTGGCTCAGTGCTATGGCAGAAAAAAACAAGTAGAGAGTTATCCAGCAATTTTCTCCCCACAGCCTATTCAGTCTCTTTGCTGTGACCAACAACAAAAAGACTCTTTAGTGCTAACTGGTGGTTCTTGGGCTATGAGTCCTTGTTGTTGGGGAAAGAGAATGAGACCACAAATCCTATTTCACAGAAGCCCATGTAGCCTGGGGCTTAATGAACCAAAAGTAAAGGCTCATCTCCCATCCATGAGCAATGGCAATCCTTTCTAGCTGTTTATCAGAAAAGCTGAATGGTAGCTGTTTAATGCATGATAGGTCAATACCAAGGAAGCAGTTATCGGAGCAAGAGACTAAAAGCCATCAGCTACAGCGCACAGCACCTCAAACAACCTCCTGTCAGTGGTACAGGTAGTATAGCATAGCATAGCATAGCTTGGCAGAGTCAATGGCAGAGACCATCCCATATTCCACCAATCACACTATTGCATGTGCACCAGTGTTTCATCAGTTACTGCAGGGAGTACACCAACTGCTCACTGATCCCAGCATGGCACACCATAGCCTCCCACCAATCACAATAGCCTCCCACCAATCACAATACAGATTGCCTAAGTGTCCCACCAATCACAGCACAAAGCACACCAATCTCCCACCAATCCCAGCTCAGACCATGCTAAAAGCTGGTGGGGCACACCATGACACACCAATATTTTAATCAGCCTTTTCTTCCCAAAGAAGAATAAGATATTGTCCTACGCTGTAAAATGGCACTGACTGAACCAGAATTGGAAAATCACTGAAAAGAGACTGCAAGCTACTGAATATTTGGGGGGATTCTAAATGTTTCTGGCTTTCAATCCTGACTAGAGTTTCTTCCTTCATTTAAAATTGCATTCCTTTTTAAAAGAAGAGTGAGACGAGAGGATTAAACATCTTCAGCTCTTTAATTAAAGTTTAAAAGATCTGATCCATGGGTGAAGAGAACTGGAGAAGCCACATTAGGGAAATTGGGAGCGGGGAGGAAAGGATAGTACAAAAAAACCCCATTAATTGCATGGACAATGGGGAGTACACTTGCAGAATTAGCCTTTTATTTTATAATATAAAGCAAAAGCTTTATGTTCCAATTTACAAAGCACTGAAACCCATCTGACCAGTCACCATTACTGACCTCTGCAAGAACAGGAGGAAAACTGAAGTGCCCTTTTTTCCAGAAGAAGGGAAAAATGCCTTTGTTGCTATAAAATGCCTTTGTATTAGTGTAAGAGTACCTTGGAACTTCCCTTGCCATACACTGCCAGCTGCAAATCACCTTTATGTAGACCAATCCTTAGAGTAGAAAAGGGTTGGAAGAGAGGAAGCTAGCGGGCATTGCCTGTTACAGTGGCAATGGCTTCAGCCCGGTTCAAATAACGAACTCCTTTATTCTTCCTGTTTACCAAAATTAATTTCACTTCAAAATTGCCCATTTGTGCCTGTGCTTAATAATATATTCATTCAGGAGCCTTCCCTCTCTGGGATTCTAAAATGCTTCCATGGGCCAATTCAGACCATTGTAAGGAATTGTAGCCTGTATCCCTCAACAGCTCATGAGAGCACTTCATAACTGCAGAAAGATGCAAGCAGTTTCTATGTGACTAAAATATGTTTTATAACCAGGCTAATCCTTGGGAGCTGCAGTTAATACAATGACCTGTGAGTACAAAAATGCTTATGATCCTTGTAAACTATAAGGCGAACAGATCAACTGTGAAGTGTGGATTCCCACTTATCTTACTCATGAGAATTGTTAAAGGCAAATATATAGTCTTCTTCATGAGCAACATAAGAAGGATTTGTCCCTTAATAGCAAATGAAGAGGAAAAGCTGAAAAATGTTGGCATTGCTGTTTCCTATACTTAGAATGCAGAAAGCTGGCTTCAGATGCAAAAACAGTTTTTGGGTGTTTTTTTTTAAATATTTGGTGCCTCAAAGAGATGAAGAAATTACAGTGAGGTAAAAGTGGGGTACTACATATCTACTCTGTGGTAACTTTCATGTGTCTGCTCCTACCCTGCAGTAGCTGGGAGCTAAACTTTGGTAACTCAGCCCTCTTTCATTCAAGGCTAAACTTGCCTGCTTTAGCTTTCGCTTACCATGGGAGAGAAGCAGATGCACAAAACAGCTACAGCACAGCAGCTGACATGCAGTGAGTGAGTCCTTTTAACGTGCTACAATTTGTTTGTCTGTCCATATCCTCAGGTCCTCATTTCTTGTGCTTGAGGACCTCAGGCAGAACTCTGCAGAACCTGAACAAGAAGATTGCTGGTAGTTGCAGACAGAGCTGCAGTATCCCTCCCTTCAGCTGACAGAGAAGGACTAAAATGTAACCTCTCCACCCCAATCCAGCAAGCAATGAGAGGCACAACTCATGTTACAGCCTCACATGACATTTCCCGTAGGATCTACAAAGGTTTTCCCAAGCCTTTCAGCCTTGAAAGCGAAGTGAAATTTGAAATCCCGACATTCCAGATGTAAATACATAGAAAATCCTTCCCCTCCTTCTCTCCTGAACAGATACATTTTAAACCTTTGGATCAGTCTTTATACAACATGAAGAAGCAGGAAAGGGTAAATATACACACACACATTGGCAAATTCACAATATGTAACTTTTTGCTTTGCAGTTCACCTACACAGAGGGCAATTTAGTAACCCATAGGCTAATTTACATTAATACAGTGGCCACTGATTTCTGATTTTCAGCCCACTTACATTAATTCTACCTTATCAATTTCACAGATTTTTAATCATTACCCTGGATTCCTTCTTGCATAAGTAAGATCGGAACCACAGGCTGTTTCTCTGATAAGGTTAGAAGTAAACCCAAACTAAGCTAACAAGACAGAACAATCTGAAGATAAAAGGGCAAAAGTATCCCTAGACTGCCTATGAGTTGTGCTTGCATAGAACCCAATAAGACTAGGACAATGGAAATCTGTGGGCATGGGGAACTGGGAGACCTAAAGATGTCAAATGGGCCAGCATGCGGGTTTCACATGGATAGCAGCACTGGACCTTGGTCACACGGACCTTCTCATTGTGAGTGACCCCTGGACTGAAAACTAGTGCTCTTCTGGCCCATAGAGTTGGCAGCAAAAAGAAGATAAACCCATAGCACCAAAAATACATGAATGCATCTAAGTGGAATATCATTTTGAAAATCAGTCATGATTAATTCAAGGCCAAACAACCTGAATCCTTTCACTGCAGGGTGCCATATCAAGATTATCCAGCTAGCCAGTATATCTGGTACAGCTGGAATGACCTTTCTGCCCAAAACGTACTGTTCATGGAAAAAGATGTCACGCAGGGACCTCTTGAGTTGTAGTCATGCAGAATGGGATGGATTCCCTAGGGATGTTTCTCTTGGTTTGTAACTGGGTGGGTTTGTGCTCTCAGATCGTATTTCCAATATGTCTCAGTGCAACAACCATAACACAGTCAAAGTTCATTTGAAAAATGAGATAGACTTGACCCACAGAATTCAGATCCAGGTGCAAATCTCCCACATGGAGCTCTTATATGGTGTTCTGGTTCCACCTATGACACAGCTGGGTCAGAGTAGTAGAGTTTAGATCTGGATCATGACTACTTCAAAGCTTTGGGGTTGAAAGCCACCAGTGTTTCAGATCAGACACACTGAATCTGAGCCTCAGAGTGTGGATTCAGACCTAGACCTGAACTCATGCAGTTCAGGAGCCTGAAGATCTGGTGTTCTACTTTTTTCTCAACCTCACCTTAGCTTAGAGCTTGCAATGATCCACTCTCAAATCTGGGCAAGCTTCATGTGTTTGGGTGGGAGTGTTTTCCATAGGTCTGTACCAGGGGACTTTTCCTTTATGATGTGGATAGTTGAAAAGTTATACTTATCAGGATAAAATAAACAAAAAACAACTTGTTGTTGATGGCACTGTCCATGAAGTAGCACTAAACTCCTGCAGTGGAATTTTCAGGATTCTGTGACCTTAACCATGCTGCTTGGTGGGGCAGTGGTGGACGTTCCCCTGTGGTTATTCGGCACTGCTGAAAATCAGGCCAATAAGCGTTTCGGCAAGGAGGTTGAGAGCAGGGTCAGGGAAGAAAGGAAGAGCAAACCGATGTCCAATGATACTTGGAAAGAGTCTTTAGATGTCCTAGTTGGTGGGACAGCTACTCATGGGGGACAGCCACCTGCCCCAAGTGAGAATGGGTCAGCATCCTGAACTCAGATCATACAGAGTCAAATCTAATCATCATCATCATCATCATCATTGTCATCGTCGTCGTCATCGTCATCATCATCATCGTCAACATCGTCATCATCTTCAGTGTTTATCTTCCCAGAAAGCACATCTTCTATCCAGTCTTCCAGCTCCTCAGCTGTGGGCAGGTCATCATCATCCTTGATTTCCATCCAGATGCTGTCGGCCTGCAAGGACAGGTAAGAAGAGGGATGCACATGGAATGAAGGTGGGATTAGCTCACTTCTAACATGGGGCGGTTTTAGGATTAGCTCATATACTTCATGGTGGTAAGATTAACTAACTTCTCTGAGAAGGCACTATGATTACTTTGTGCCTTTCCCTAGGAATGGTGGATTATTTTATATGTGCAGCAGGGGCTGGCAGAATTAGTCCACAAGGAGGTCTGACATACTAAATCTGTGATAGTTGCATTCTTAAACTATTCTTAAAGCTATTTAAGTGCCTGAATCAGCCAGAGAATACCACACCATTGGATGAGATTTTTTTTTCCTATTGTCTATCCCTAGGAGTGCTGGGATTATTTTACATGTCCATCAGTCCCTCTGTATCTCTCCCTGGGTGTACCTACACATGATATTAATGGGCATTTCTATGCATGTAAGCACCACAGCACTGGGTGCTTTGAAAAGCATCTGGCACCGTGACACTTGCAGTTCTATAAGTGGCAAAATGCACGGCAGCACAGAGAAAATGGTGGCAGCGCACTTTTGAACTAAAACACAGTGGAGGGGCTTTAGTTCAAAAGCGCGCTGCTGCCATTTTCTGCTCACTGACACGCATTTTGCTGCTTATACAACTGCACGCAGCACAGTGTGGTTTGCCTCAGCTCATGCATGGAGCAGACTTGATTAATAGAGTCTGCTGCGAAGTGGCGGATCTCCGGCTTGTCGCAGGACAGAGAAGTATGGTATAAATGCCCAATGTGATGCAATAAATTCCAATGCAGTTTGCATTGGAGTTTATTGCTCCTGGGTGCAGCATTTACATGTGCGCCCAGGACCATAGCACGTTGAGTCAGGGTGGCACAGTCCCAGTTGACAGGAGATCTGGGGGGTCAGTCTGCCAGCCTGGAGCTGCCCCCCCCCAATTCAATGTGCTGTGGAGGGGCTGGCTGGGGAACAAGGGTACTACAGTGTGGGGCTAATTGGCAGGCAGCCTCTGCACTGAAGCACCCTTGTGCCCTAGCCAGCCCCTTCAGCATCTACACGTGCATTGCGGCAGAGTAAATAACTCCGCCATAGGATAGTGTTTGGGTCAGGCAGTACTATCCTACCGCAGGGTTAATTAGTTTACTCCTGCCTAATAGTGCCACATGTCAATGGTGCAGGGGTTTGGGTTGTAGCCGTGTTGGTTTAAGGACATAGGCAGACAAGGTTCCTTGGGTGAATTTGATATCTTTTATTAGACCAACCCAAATGGTTGGAGAATAGTTATTAAGCAAGCTTTCGGGTTCAAAAACCCTTCGTCAGGCTAAGGAAGCTTCAGCAGTTGGTGTGTGCTCTTCCTGGATGGAATGAAGAGTCAATGGTGGCACTTTACTGTGGAGCTAATTAATCATCTGCAGCAAAGCACACGTGTAGATGCCTCCCTCCCACGAATTCAAATTAAGATTCAGATGCCTAGTGATGCCATTAACTGCAGATATCACATTAAGAGAACAGGTGCATTCAAAAGGACTGATTCCAAAGCAACTATCCATCTAGATAGCCCCTCTTCATGTTATATACAGTCTCCTTTTAGTGATTTTAACTGCCCTCCCTACAAAAGCCTGTGAATTTAGCTTCTATGTTAGATATTCTTAGATAATCTTGTCAGAATGAAGAGAGAGGTCTCTTTTATCATGCTCTTTTTGTATGATGTACATAGGACTCTACAGCTGATTGTTGATCTGGGAATAGAACTGTGCCCCTAAGCAACTGTCAAAAAATGCACAAAGAACTGGCAAACTGACATTAGTGCTACACGTTCCTGGAACAAATCTTTACATAGTAGAAAAATGAACATTTTAATACTAGGATTTAATGCTCCTGAGACCCCAGCAAGTCACAACAGCAGTGACTGAGTCACCCAAGCTCTGATCCTCTGAGGTGCTGAGCCCCGTGGACTCAGCAGCTGCGGTGGTAACACATGGGTATGTTTTGAGTTAATTTGCACTCTCTATGGTAACACAGTGGCAGGGCTTAAAAACATTGCCAACTCAAGGGAAATTCCATGTGTTTGTGGAGTGCTGCTCTGCTTCCGGTTTTGCTGTACATACCCAGAGCTACCTCGTGCTTGCCCCCACCTTGGACATGGGTGTGCATGTGCAGGGAAAGAAGCAGCTGAAGAGAACTCCCCCTTTTCCTCTGCATGACCTGCTCTGTGCCAGGTTTGCTGTGGGGCTCTTTACCAGCCAATGCAAAGTGGCAGAGGGGGCTTGTTAATGCTGCTGGCAGCGCTAAGGCCCTAGGGCATGTTTTTAGGCAGGATGAAGGCAGGGCCGAGCCCTTGCATACCAAGCTGGCTGGACTGTGGAATGTGTGAGAGGTGCCTGTTGAATAGATAGGACAGGAGTTCCCCTCCCCAGTCCCCCTGCCTGCCTCTGGCATTGACCAGGATTATGCCTTCTCCCCTTCCCCGTCACAACTCAAGCTCTTAAGAGTCAGGAATGTTTTTGTGATTGAACATTAACCTGGCTTGAAAAGGGCCTTTGGTTTTGGGCTACAGGAAGTGTGCAGCTGGGGAGGAAAGTCTTTGCCTACAGCTTGTGTAAAGCCTATAGAAAACTAGGGATTAGTAAAAGCCCATTAAAAAGAGAGAGAATAGGATGGCATGGTTACTACCAGACATGTCACTCCATACAACTGGTGTGTCCTGGTCCACTGCTTCTGTTCCCTGTTGTGTTAACACCCCAACCCTCCCATGCCGAGGTCTCAGTTGGAGGTCTCAGATTGCCAGTGGTTGTAAAGGCAGGTACACCTACTGATGCTATACTACCTGTTGAATCAAATTCTCCAAGGTACCAGTGGACCCCATTGTATCCCAGTGGGATGGAAGCCTAGGAGAATCCTTGCAATAGGAGATCCTTTGCAAGGTGCTCCCACCCGTGTCAGCTTATATTGCCTCCTCAAGCTTTTTAAAGATATTTTTACCTATGCAGCTGTCTGTTAGTGAACATCTTTCCTTACACAGCCAAATTCTACCCTTCTTTTTTTACCCTGCAAGTACCCTCTTCCCTCTTTCCACCCTTAAGTTCTACTCTGTTTTTCTGCTGAGACCAGCAAAATGCCATTCAATGAGGACCTGATTACAAATGACCAGTGGAAGAAGATTTCAAGGGAAATGATGGAAATTTCACTGCATGAGTCATTAAAACTAAAATGGATGAAGAACAGGCTGTAGGGAACAACTCTGCACAGGACAGAGGTGGTCTTCAGATGTCTAGGTAGGAGAATTGTGACCAAACCAATTCTCTAGATGTGAATGTGCCTGAGATATTCAAAATCCAGCTTCACCCACCCCACTGGTCCAGGTGTTTGGTATTCTTTTCAGTACATAGGGGTGCCATCCTTGTCCCACTCACCCAACAACAAAAATCCTATTGACTTCAATGGCTCAGACTTTCACCCTGAGTCTTGCCCCTCTTCATGCCTCTGAGTCTACAACTATCAGATTTACTGTGCCTGTGATACTCACATCCGTGACATTTACCACTCCAATCTGTGGCTTGAATAGGTCAATCTTGAAGGTCTTTTCCCAGTAGGTGATAAGCTGCAGCAAAGAAAGAGAAGCTCAGCCAAGGCTCTTTAAACAACCTCTTCCTACTAATCTATCTAGCTGGCTGATGGCAAAAACAACCATGCCGCACTGAATTTGGAGTCTGGCCTTGGAAATCCAGTATGGGTTGTCTTGTGTAGCAGTTCAATGTGCCAACCACTGGGGTTGCCCCTACAGCATCCATTTACAAGTAGAAAAGCAAGAGCAATTTCATCAAGTCCGGCATGCAAATTTGACTGGAACACGGATGCAGAAGGGGTCACTCACAGTTTGATGCGTTACCTCTCAGCTTTTTCCCATGTCTTTTTTTTCTCCTCCTCTACATTCTGTGCATGCTCTGTGGTGATGGACAGGCTCACATACACTCAGCTAAAGAGGGAAATGACCCTCTGCCACTCACCAAAGGAAAGTCATCAGGGTCAATCCACACAATGCTCAGGTCAGGGTTGTTGGTGTTGTCCTTGGCAACTTGCTTCAGAATCTCCAGGAACTCATAGCCATCTGAAATGATACATGAACCAATATGTCCCAATCACACAAAGACAGGGATACAAACTCCTTGTGCTTTTACAACCTCGAGGCTAAGGATGATGGACAGGTCTCCTGTTCATTTATAAAGTTCTTGGCTACTTTGTGTGTCTTAAGATTATAGCTGCTCCACGATAAAAATTTTCGAGGGCCTTTCCTCAAATTAAAAATGAAGTGTTATAATCCTTCTATGAAATGGGTCACTATTATTATCCCCTTCTTGTAGAGGGGCAAATCAAGGCATGGCATGATTGAAAGGAGGATTTTTTTAAATAAAAGCTATCCCATTTAGTGTCACAAATCCAATGAACTTTTGTTGACTTGTGCTCCTAAATCACTTACGTGCTTTCAAAAACTCACCCTCAGTGATTCACTCAAAATCCAATAGCAAATTGGTGGCAGAGCTGGCGGGAGGAGGGGTGGAAAACCGAAATAAGAATCCTAAATGCCAAGTTCCTCAGTCTTTGCAGTAAATGGGCAGTATCTGCCATGCAAAACAAACCATTTCCCTATATAGTGTATTATTTTATCTCCAACAGTGGCCAGTGTCAAAAACTATAGAAGAGGTAGTCTGATTATGCTTTGTGCCATGCTGTACTAGAGAGAAGAGCAATTTCTTTCTGACCTCTGCTGGTGACCAGTTTAAGCCTTGAATCAAGGAGACTGAAAATCCTTGCTGTTTAATCAGAGTGAGGGCAACTGCTGGCATATATTTATTCCCCAGTTAAAAGTTCAGGAATGTCCTGGTTCCTGATCACTGCAAGACATGTCTCCTGCTTCCTAGGTTGGGTGTGGGATTCTCATGGCTCCGGGGAGGCAAGGCTGCTGAGCTGGTCCAACAGGCTAGCCTGCTGCCAGGTTGCATTTGCTCTGGGAAATTTGATCATGCCAGGTAAATTATTAAAGTTAAACTGAAAGGCAGAAGACAGGCCTCCTTCTGAGCAAAACTTTCTCATGGCTGCTTTTCTGACGGGTAGAGACTTCCCTTTGTCCTGTTGTGTTTCGGGCAGGGCAGAACCCAAGTAGGAATAAGGAAGAGAGCAAAAGGGTCTTCAAGTGAGTCACCTCCATGTATTCTTTTACACTTACACAGTGATCAGCAAAAGGAGGTAGGACAATTAAGGTTTTGGGCTCTCAGAAGGGAGACCATGTGTGAGACTCCCATCAGTCAAGCATAATAAAAGTCAGAGCTGATCCTAATACACTTCCTTCTTTCTGTGGGCAAAGCCAGGAAAGGGAAAATGGGTCTCCTACCTGGGTCATCCTCTTCAGCGAAGGCCACGATGTGGATTCCATCCAGGTCATCCTCCTGTGGACAACAAGACTATTACTGACCACTCAGGAGGGAGGAGGAGAAGGCAATGTGAGAGGGTGGTTGGCTTGATGTGGGATGCATTTGGAAATAAGGAGATGCTATGAGAAGGAGTGCTTGGATGAGGAGGATGAGGAAGAGAAGAGCATCTTGCCAGTGAAAGAGAGAGAGAAGTAAACACGGCTCCATGAGCTGATGGAGAGAGGCACTGTTTCTGTAGAGGACCTCCTTCCCTCTGGGAACATGGTTAGTACAGAGATATTTGTCAGCTTCTTCAAGTGTGTCTGTGCTGCCAGCGGCCAGAATGTAGGGCTGAGACCATGCCATACCCCATTCACAGGTGCCCTTTCTGGGTTGATGAGGGGTACCAGTGGCATCAGATAAGCCAACCCAGCCTTCTGTGTAATGTGTGAAGTGAGGCGGTCCAAATAAGAAGTGTGGTTGGGGGCTCTGCAAGGGCACTCAAATTGGATTGTCCTTGCAGGAGGCATGGGAGTGGTGGGAAGTGTCTCTGACAGACCTGGAGGAGGTTTATATGAGAGCAGCCAGAGGAACTTGAATGGTTTTCTGCCTGAAAGCTGTAAGTGGGAGCTTGGTTAATGGTGTTGGCAAAGGCTGACATGTCTGTCAGGCTGTTTGTCATGTACCTGCTCTGAATATAGCCTCAGAATTATCCCATGGAAGAACTGCATCTTCCTCACCCTCTTTCATTCCCAGTTTCCATTTCAATTGATTTTAATGTGAGAAAAGAACTCCCATCTAAATGCTAATTTTTTTCCCCTTTGAGTCCAGAGGTGACAAAACCACTATGAAAAACTCAAAAAAAAGTGCTAAAAGATTAAGTGGAAAACATTATCTTTAAAAACAATAGCGAGTGTTGGCTTTTTGCTAGCTTCTTTGGGGAAATTGCAATTTCACAGGGACCCTTTGAACAGATTTACTGCAGGAATCAGATCAGAGGCTGCGTAGCTTGCACTTTTGCTTTTTCCTCGTTATTTGTGAGCAGGATCATATCTCGATGGAATACCAAAATCTTAGAACTTAGTCTGGTGATTCTCAGTCAGGGTGCTGCAACACTTGGAGGTGCCCTGAGATACTTCCAGGGGTGCTGCCAGATGCCAAGCAATGTTAACATGGTTAGGGATGGAAATAATATGATTCACAAGATAAACCCAGAGATTTCCCATATGAATCCATATTCTTAAACACATTCTGACCTGCTGTGGGCCTTCTGAGTTCTTTGCAAGAGAAGAATGGCTCTGTTATTTTTCTGTAGTCAAAAATCAAGTGAAAACTAATATCTGACATTTTCAAAGGAGTACCTTGTGCTTATGAAGGGGTGCCTTGAGTCTGCTGAGGGGTGCCTTGAGTTTTACAAAGGTTAAGAATCGCTGTTTTAGACAAGGTTTTCAAACTGCGCTCCACAAAATCTGGGGGTTCCACGGCAGGTCATCACGGGGTTCACGTGGCTGTTGGGGGTAATGGCAGTGTGGGCCAGGAGGCAGTGTGTTACCATTGCCAGGTCAGGTTGCCTGGCTCCATGTCAGCTCACAAGGCTTGTGGACCCGGGGGTAGGTGATCCACGGCAGCAGTGAAATGACAGGGTCCCATGACTTCAGGAAGTTTGAAAATCACTGATCAAATGGGAGCAGATTCTAATCTCAGAGGCCCTGATGTAAACCTGGAGTAACTCCACTGAAATCACTGCAGTTATTCGGGATTTACATCTGGGTAACTGAGACCAGAATCTAGTCCTGTTCTCTTTCATATAAAATCTTCTGATTTAATGGATGTAAATTCTGTATTCAAGCCTTTTTTAGTAATCTGGCTATCCTTGCTTTCCTTAAGATTCATGATTATAACTAGGCTTGGCAGGATTTAATTTTTATTGGTAAACGTTTATAAATGTTGAGCTCACCGCACACTCACAGACCAATGAAAAATATTTAAATCGCTAATAATTGAAATTTATAGAAAGGGGATGTAAGAAAAATGATGGCTGATAGAGCATGTGACGACCGGGGATCCTGGTTTTCTCTGATTAAAAAAAATCCCCAATGTTCAGCTAAAAAAAATAACCCCAAGTCCACATTTTCCTGTGATTTACTAATATATAGATTTATATAGAGTGGCGTTTCATTTAAATCATGGGAAAAGGTGGATTTGGGGATACTTGTTCTTAACTGAAAATTGGGGATTTTTTTAAATCAGAAAAAAAAACCTAGGATCTCTGGTGATGACAGGGGGAGCAGTCGTGCAGAACCATACTGGCTTTAGTTTGGACTGCAAGTCCCAGAAACCCCAGAGGACTGGGAACAAAAGAAGAGGAAGTGACAAAACGAATGTGGGAGCTACAGATAAGCAGAGGCAGCTCTGTCGCTCAGCAAACTCTGTCCCTGGGAGAGGTCCTACAGTAGTTACATTTGCCATAAATAAATTGTTTGCCTCCACACCCATAATTTTATGAAATCCTGAAAATTTAAATCAATAAAAATCAAAATAAATGCTTAAAGATAAACATAGATATTATATGTTGAAATTATAAAAAATAAAAATGGAATTCTGCCAGGCCTAATTATAATATATTTACCATATTTGCTTGAATATAAGATGACCCTGATTATAAGATGCCCCCCTAATAACTAGATTCTAGATATGGGACATTTACAAATTTGTTATATTTTTCCAAGTATAGAATCTAATTATTGGATGTTTGCCTTGGATGTGCACCCCCCACACTGCTACATCAGGGAAAATAAATCTGGGGGGTCAGATGGCCCACCTTGCCCTCTGTCCCCTCAACTTCATCTCCTTGTAGCCCTTTCTCCTCTCCTATTGTCAGACGCTGCTTTCCCTAAGCACATGTAAATGAGGAGCAAATATATTTAAAAAATGACAGATGAATTGATGCATTTTATCTTTTTTTTTTAAGTTGATGCAGGTCTTGGTAGGGGTACTTCACAAACATACTTTTAAGCAGAACTTTTGTATCTCCTTATATAAAGTAAAAACTATGCATGATATTAGTTCAAAACCAAAAGGCTCATGATTTACCATATAGTTCACTGGGCTGGGCCCCAGCAGAGACAGCAGCATTTCAAGCCATGGTTACCCCATAGCTCAGCACTGCTTAGTTTGTGTGTGTGTACTCCAGATATGCTCCTCACAAAAGATTCATGTGCTAATTAGCCCTCCATTCATGACTGGAACTGGGTGGTCTTGTCATGAGTGCTGGGATTCTCCAAAAAAATATATGCAGATGAAGTTCAGTGCAACTTGGTCCGGCTTCACCTCATGGAGGGTGAGGCCACACTAATCATATGTGGCAGGTTGAGAGAGGGGGCAATAGAGGGATTCTGGGTGAACTGTTTGGGATCCAGCTAGGTGATGTTTGCCAGACATTTATGTCATCTGTGGGAGTGAAGAAAAGGTCAAAATGTATTCAGTGTAGTTGCTCACCATGACTTGGAAAAGAGACTGAGCACAATGGGGCACTACCATACATTTTATATAGGTTATATTGGTTTATTCTTGTAGTAGGTGCCTATTGGCATCTTTGCCAGGGCTGACCAGTAGTGCAGTATCTCCAGGGCCTGTGCTACTTTTTTGTGGAGGAAACACCTGCCCTTTTTTCTCTAAGGGTAAAAAAAAAAGGTTTCCTTCAGCATTTTTCGTACCAGGGAAGTATTTTGGAGCTTGTTTCAGTCTTTCTAAGTGCCAGCCTGGTATTGCACTACCTTTAGGCCCAGTGCTTTTTCCCTCCTGGGGGAGTAACTCCCTGGTTTTTTTTAAGGACCACAAGAAAATGGTTCCCATCAGTATATATGCCCAATATGGCTCACATGTTTTGGAGTCATACTCAGTCCTGGCTGTGTTTTGATCAACTTCATAGCTGATCAACTCCTGAGCACATTCTGCTATGAGTAGCAGTTCAATGATAGACAATGTATTTAATGAGGTTCCTTGTATGCAATTGTAAGACAAAGAGCTATTTTCTCACTGCTGGGTGGGGGGACGGGACACAACACCTCATTCTATATTCAAGTACATCTATAATAGTAATAGGCTTATTCTGTCTGTCCAGAAACATTTATTCTGTCTTGGCAGCCAATCACAGTGCTTATTGAAACAACCAATTGGAGTGCTCCGGACAGACAGAATAAGCATGTTATTATTATAGATCCTGAGGCATTTCAAACAGATATGCAGGCAAGTCAGAGCTAGAATGAAGCACTGGAGCCCCCCGCCGGAGTGGGCAGGCTCTACCGAAGGTAAAAAAAAGGTGAGGGGCCCAATCCTTTTTTTCCCCCTGGAGCCTGTCTGCCTCTCCCTCAGCTCGGGGCGCGAGCTGCCCTGGTGCTTCCCTCTGCAGCGTTGGCATCCCCTGGGATGCCCCGGGCAGGGTGCCAGCAGGTGGGTGCTGCCTGGGGGGTGCCGCCACTGCAGAGGGAACCATGGGAGTCCCCCACAGCTCAGGGGCTGTGCAACCTGCCAACAGCTTGTTCCAAAGTAAATGCAGGCAGGCTCTGGGAGAAAAAAAAAAAGATCAGGCCCATTCCTGTTTGGGTTTTTTTGCCTCGGCGGAGCCTGCCCGTACAAGCTGCCACTGGGTCACTCAGCCCCTGAGCTGCAGGGAGGCCTGGTGCTTCCCTCTGCAGTGGCGGTGCCCCCTGGGGCTGCCCAGGCGGGGTGCTACCTGCACAGGTACAGTCTCAACTCACAGGCACCACTTGCCGAATCCAACAGTGCATGGGACGCTGGAAGCCCAGGCATGCTCAGGGGAGCTTGGGCTTGGCAGGCTTCCAGTGCCCTGTGCACTGTCCCTATGGCCTTTCCACTACCTGGGACTGCCTGGGAATGGGATGGCTGCCCCAGGAAGGTGGCAGGAGGGTGGCTGGATGTGCTGGCAGCCAGAGGAAGTGGAGACAGTGCGTGGGGCACTGGAAACCCAAGTCTGAGCTTCCCTGAGCATGCCCAGGCTTCCAGCGCCCTGTGCACTGTCCCCACCACCCTCTTCAGATAGGGCCCTTGTATATATGAGGAATATCACTGTACTTTGTTACATAACAAACTAAAATACATGGGATGTATTTTAATTTATTATGTAAAAAAGTCATTTAAATTGAAATACATTGCTGAACGCGTACACTGTTATAAAATTTAATTGTAACATGCTGCTGAACGTGTACACTGTTACGCAATTAAGTCATTAAAAAGGGCAATTAGACCACTAAAAGGGGCAATTTCCTCATGTGTACAAGGAACCTCTTATTCTATGACTATAAACAAGTCACAAGGTCAGACTTTTGACAAAATATGTATTTATATTCCTAAGCCTGTATTTACACATGGACAGCTTTATGTAGTCTTTTTGAGGGTATGAAGTGTTGATTCCATTAAAGTGTTCAGTCAAAGGATAACTAAAAATCTTGTATTTAAAGAAATACTTTTGCAATAAAAATTTAATCACAAATGTTTTGCGGGTTTCAGCTAGTATGGTAATAATAATAGACCAACATTGAAATCTGGCCCCAAACTTCCACTGACTTCAACAGATGCAGTATTTCAGCCTGGATATCTAAACTATATTTAAACAATAAATAAAACCCCTAAACCCAAGAGACCATATCAAAAGCCTTGCTAAAGTCAAGGTATATAGAATCATAGAAAATTAGGGTTAGAAGGGACCTCAGGTGGTCATCTGGTCCGACCCCCTGCTCAAAGCAGGACCATCCTCAACTAGATCATCCCAGCCAGGGCTTTGCCTAGTCGGGTCTTAAAAACCTCCAAGGATGGAGATTTCACCACCTCTCTGGGTAACCTGTTGCAGTGTTTACTACCTTCCAAGTGAGAAAGTATTTCCTGATATCTAACCTAAACTTCCCTTGCTGCAACTTGAAACTGTTGCCCCTTGTTCTGTCATCTGCCACCACTGAGAACAGTCCAGCTCCATCCTCTTTGGAACCTTCCTGCAGGTAGTTGATGGCTGCTACTAAGTCCCCTCTCAGTCTTCTCTTCTCCAGACTAAATAAGCCCAGGTTCACTCTCAATAATAGACCAACATTGAAATCTGGCCCCAAACTTCCACTGACTTCAACAGATGCAGTATTTCAGCCTGGATATCTAAACTATATTTAAACAATAAATAAAACCCCTAAACCCAAGAGACCGTATCAAAAGCCTTGCTAAAGCTGAGGTATATCACATCTACTGGTCTCCCGCGTCCACAGAGCCAGTCATCTCATCATAGAAGGCAAGCAGGTTAATAAGGCATGACTTGTCCTTGGTGAATCCATGCTGACTGTTCTTAATCACCTTCTCCTCAAAGTGTTTAGAAATAGATTCCTTTTGTGCCTGCTCCATGATTTTTCCAGGGACTGAGGTGAGGCTGACCAGTCTGTAGTTCCCTGGATCCTCTTTCTTCCCTTTCTTAAAGATGGGCATCATATCTGCCCTTTTCGAATCATCCAGGACTTTTCCCAACCACCACAAGTTTAAAAAATAATGGCCAGCGGCTCTGCAGTCACATCGGCCAACTCCCTCAGCTCCCTCGGGTGCCTTGCCTCTGGCCTGATGGACTTGTACACATCCAGGTTTTCTAAATAGTCCCTAACCTGTTCTTCTGTCTGTGTTGGCTGCTCACCTCCTCTCCAAACTGTGCTGCCAGGTGCAGTAGTCTGGTAGCTGACCTTGCCTATGAAGACTGAGATAAAAAAGGCATGGAGCACTTCAGCCTTTTCTGCATCCTCTGTCACTAGGTTGCCTCCCCCATTCAGTAAGGGACCCACAATTTCCCTGATCTTCTTTTTCTCTTGTTGAAGGACAGAGTATGAAATTCTTGCCTGTGTTCTTATATTTCAAATCAGCAGTTAACTTCTTCAAAACCTCTCAACTGCAGCTTAGTCATACTACAGCTCTTACAATCAAGGTATAGTTGCTCTGTTGCTCATGTGAGAGACCTAACTAAGGATGCCAACCTGAATTTCAAATGGTGTATTTGACTGTAACGCATCACAGTTCACAACGTTCAAGTTCTTTATAGCATCTGGAAACAACACTGCATGACTGACTCACCTGCACTGCAAAATGTGGCTGAATAGACAATTCCTTCCTCAAGGATGTATAATATAACTGTATTGCAGTTGCTGCTAGAGGCTCAATCAGAGTTATGACTTGAACCAGCTCAGGCCTGAGAATAGCCTTTCCTCTTCCATACTGTAGAAATGGCAGTTTAATTGTTTATGCGACTTGAAGAACTGCTTGTCTAACCCAGAATGACCTGTGAACAGCTTATATGGGAACACTTGAGTTCCTGCCGTTAATACTGTTTTACTACATTTTCTATCTCTTCTCACCATTATGCATTTATTATCCTTTATCTGATCAAGGCCTCAGCCAACCATCTGTTTCTATGCAGCAAAGCTCTTCTACATACCATTTAGACTTAGATGCTGGAAGGTGAGCATGAAGCTCTCCCTGCTGCATAATGTGGCCAGTGAATCTGTAAGCCCAGCAAAAGGTTCTGGGAAAAATGTTGCTGCAGGATCAGCTTGGAGCTGTCATGTAGCAGGTTGAAAGCCAGAGGCTTCAGAAGATTGATACCTTCCCTGCCTTTATGTACTTACCCAGGTCTCGAACATGTCTTCTGGACGCAGCTTCCGCAGGGTAGCTCTGAAAAGAACAAAGGATCCTTATCATCAGATGCAGGCAGAATATTCATGTCTTGTGTGCCAGTGCAGAAGGCCTGGGTTACCTCCCTAGCCCCTTTTGCTCTGGGTGTGGGCAGAAGGCACCTACTGTGTCAAACTCTCTTGTCATTTATACTGACACCACCCTGCTGAGGTCACTGTGGCTGTGTTTTTCAGACAGTGGCAAGGATTTCTTAGGGTGAAATCTTTTATTGGACCAACTATGTAGTTGGGATAAAGTTAGACAGTCATTTGAATGTAAGACATTCTCCTGAGGAAGAATACATAGTTGGTCCAATAAAAGATCTCACCCTAAGAAATCCTTGCCTCACATCATTTCTGGACCATCATGCTACAACATCACTTTTTCAGAGAGTGACATTCAGGATGCCATTAAGTTTTAGGATGTTCAGGAGAGTTGGTTCTAGACACCACAGTTTGTCCCTTTTGCATGTAGCTAATTTAGCTCATTACATTTTTAAGACGACAAAGTATAAGGTGACAAGCCTCAGACCTGGGTTCACCAATGGGCCTCATTCCCTCTTTAGTTCTGCTGGTGTGAGTTTTTTTTTAAATAACTGAGAGCAGAATTTGGCCCAGTCTACCTCTATGAGAATTCCCAAAGAACTGAGAGGTTAGATTCAGATAAGCAGTCAATGCTTATGCAAACCTCAGAACGACCCTGTGCTGTGAAACTAGCCTGGGAGAACATAGTGTCCCATAATGTTGTACATACCACTATACCAGTGCTGTTATGCAGATTTTGCTCTTCTTTTGGTATTCTGACACTTACCTGCTCAGGACTAGGAAGGACAGAGTTGTGAAAGTGAGGACATAGCTAGCAGTTACGGCTCGCTGGATCAAATTCTGCTCCCAGTTTAATGCATAGAAATACACAAGGATCTTCTCTAGAAACTATGAAATCATATGAAGACTGGCTATGAAGATTCCTGGCATTTGTTCTCAGCTTTGCACTAATCTGCTGTCTGATCTTGGCTAAGCTTCTTCACTGCTCCCTGCCACAGTTTCCTGGTCCTTTCAGTGGAGGCCATACTTCCCTGCTGTCTCTCACGGGTACATTGTGAGGCTTAGTCATGACTCTGTGGAGTTTGTGCATTTGAGGCTGAATAGCCTTCTTTGGGCTCCCACACATTTATATGTAATGGAAGGGGGGGTTGCCTAGAAATTGTACTCAAATTTAGTAGAGGCTCTTTCTGATTCTCTGCCCTGTTTTTCTTGGGGTTTAAACATACACTTAAATATATGAGTCCAGTTCGCCCTTTCTTTCAGTGCTTCAGTGGAATAGTGACACCATGCACTAGTGAAGAAAATTGTGATTTTGCTAGTTCGTGGGGCAAAGTAAGATGATGAAGCTGGGCTAGGAGATGAAGGAGAAGCCTCAAAGGAAGGGTTTTTAAGCACACAAAATTGGACATAAGGAAGAAATTATTTATGGTAAGGGTCACCAAAATATGGAATGGGCTCCCAAGGGAGGTGGTGCTTTCCCCTACCCTGGTGATGTTCAAGAGGAGATTAGACAGGCATCTGTCTGGGATTACCTAACCCCAGCACTCTGGGGAATAGGGGGCACTCTTGTGGCTGTCTATAAACTCAGCAGGGAATAGGAGGCACTCTGTTTACCAGGGCACCCCTCGGGGTTACCAGAAATAATGGCCACAAACTGAAGGAGAATAGATTTAGATTGGACATAAGAAAGAGATTCTTTACTGTGAGGGCTGCCAAAATATGGAATGGGCTTCCAAGGGAGGTGGTGCTTTCCCCTACCTTGGAGGTGTTCAAGAAGAGATTGGATAGGCATCTGGCTGGGGTTACTTAACCCCAGTACTCTTTCCTGCCTGGAGCAGGGGGTCAGACCCGATGATCTACCAGGTCCCTTTCAACTCTAGAAATCTATGAAATCTATAAAAATAAGTGTTGGATGCTTCTGTATATTTGAGAGATTTTCCCTATGACATGACACCCCTAAAAAAAAAGGAGGTGAGGCAAAGTTAGAGCATTTGTGAGGGGTCAAAAGACTGCAGGCTAGGAGGGTTTTGTTCTTTAGTGGAGTGGGAAATGGGTCTTCAGCTGGGAGAGTATCAGAGGGCCTGTGGTAGAGAGGAGGACTTTGATACTCCATCTGTTGCCAAGACATAGGTACCCTAGGGTCCTCAGCTATGGAAAGGGAAATAGAATTCTACTGCTAATTTAACCTAATGTTTCATACAGTCCTGCTCATCTCCATTTCCAGGTGAAGTCTCCTCTAGGCTGTGTCTTGCATAGTTGTAAGACCCCTTAGCTGACAGGACCTCCATGGCTTGGGTTTTTACAGACACCTGATGTCAGGAGAATCTCCTCCTTTTTCCCTTTTGGTTCTTGGTACAGATAGAATCCATGGTTTATTGGTTTCCCCCTCTCTCCTACCAAACCTGTCCTGTCATCTTGAAATCTGTGAGGTCCAGAGATTTTTTTTCCTGTTGCATTTCCACTGTTCATGGGTAAGAGCAGACAGAGATCTTCTTTCCAAGCCTGGCATTTGGCTCAGTGATTTCTGCCTCCTATTCCTATTTCTGCTGATTGAAGAGAAGGACTTGGAGAAAAAGAAAGGAAGACCTGATGTCAACCTTCCACATTGCCTCTCTTCAGGAAATGTAGAACACCAGCAATAGGGATAGGCCCACCTGAGAGGAAACTGAAACCCACCCCCAGCTCTTCTGCTCACAGTTTCAAGGAGAAAGTCCTTCAAGCCTCTAAGCTTAACAGTGAGTTCAACTGTAAGGGTGTGAGTAAAAAGTACCAGTCTAAACCCATATCTAACCCTACAATACAATTGGGGACTGTATTTTTCTTGAATCTTGTTTTAGCTCCTGACATCCTATTGGATTAATACTGGATAAGCAGAACAGTTGGGAGAGGCAATCATGTTATTGCTGGGAGATGTCTTATGCAAGTTCATTACATTGCACTCTTAAAGGGACATATATTCACCATGCCCCATATGCAGCTACACCTATATATTTAACCCCATGCTCTGAGATGAGAATGAATTAGGCAGATGTGTCCAGAGTCTTGGGCTATTAGGGTTTTTGCCCAGTTCCTAAAAGCATGGAGCCAGCTCCAATTGACTCAGTCAGAAAATTCTGGGTGTTTACCGCCCTTCTGGACCAAGCCCAGTATAGCAGGCAGGAACTAGCTTGTTTCAGTGGTCCACTTGTACAAACATCCTGTTGTTCCTGAAATCTACTCCTGCTACTGACTCTAGTGGTCTGAACTCAGCATAGGTCGCTTCCAGCATGGGGAGGAGACTATAGTCAGGATTGCTTGGGGTAGTTTGTTGGACTGAATTTGGATGCTAGTTTGTTAGTCCTGGAGAATAGTGCTCTCCTTATTGCTAAAAAAAAAGAGAAAAGTCTGGTGTGAACAGTACAAGCTTCCCCACACAGTGACTTTGCCTTACTTCTGATTGAGAAGGACTGCATTTGGGAAGGGGAGTTGAGTTCCAATTCAGTCTGTAATTCAGCTCAGTGTTACTCCAAGCCGACTGTGGTGGAGACACTTGTATGCTAGGGATGCAGCAGAGACTCACCCATTTAATGTCTTATTAACCACCAAATGGCTGGCAGGTAGTAGTAATCTTCATCTATACCAGGGGTGGGCAAAATGCAGCCCGGGGGCTGGATGTGGCCTGCCAGGCCATTCTATCCAGCCTGTGGGGCCCCTAAAAAATTTAGAAAATTAATATTAATCTGCCCTGGGCTGCCTGTCATGCAGCCCTCGATGGCTTGCTGAAACTCAGTAAGCAGGCCTCTACCCAAAATAATTGCTTGCCCCGATCTATATTGAACTGGTTGCAGTGGCCTGGCAACTTGAGGTGACAGGCTTCTTAGTCCAGTGCTGATGGCCTGAATGGCTCAGCCCTGGAACAGCAGTCTTTGTACCTTTTATGCTCGTTCACAAATTCGACTAGTTCTTCTTCCGAGTAAGGTTTGTCAGGGACATGTACTGGCTCATCCATAAATGGCTCGTAGAAATCTACTTCATTCAGCTTCAGACCAAGCTTCTTTGCAACCTGTTTTAATCACAGATGTTATGAGGGTGTAAGTACAAAATGCCTCTGCCCATCAGAAGCCTCTACACATCTTCCTCATGGCAGAGCAATAGACCTGAGCACACTTAGGGCACCTACACATATGGCCAATACCTGCTCTGACATGTGCATTGGAGCAGATTCAATTAATTGGGCATGCTGGAGCATGCTAATTATCATGATCCAGCAGCCTCAGTGCCACATATATTCAGCTTTCCTATGCTTCAAAATGGTGGCGGGGGTGCTTTACCCCAAGGGTTTTCAACCTTTTTTAACTAGTGTACCCCTTCTCTCTCAAAGTTCCAGCTCAGGTACCTCTTTATAATTTTTTCTTGTTTTTAAGGGGCGGTGGAGGGGGGTGGGGGGGAATCAAGACCCTGGTAGTGAGGGAAGGAGTGGGGCTGGGGCTGCACAGCCAGGGCAGAATGGGGAACAGAGCCACAAGTGTCTTGTCCGGAGGGCGTGAAGAGGCAGTGGCGGCTCCCGCTGCTGCACGCAGCCCGGGAGACCATGGGGGGGTGTGCCCCCAGATCTGCCCACGGGGCAAGGGCAGGCTGGCCCAGCAGTGGGGGAGAGAGTGGGGCTGCGGCAGGGGCAGGGGTTGCCCAGCCAGGGCGGGGCACAGGGCTGAGCTGCATGGGGGGTGGCTTCTGCAGCTATGCACACCCCTAGGAGGGCATGGGGGTGGGGGTGTGTGCCCCCGGATCTGCGTTGGGGAGGGCTGGGCTGCCACTGTGGGCTAGGGCCACTGTCAGGCTGTTCACGGTGGGGGCTGGGCTGCGCTGTGCTCAGGGTGGGCGGTGGCGGTGCTGGGAGGGGAGGTTATGGGGGGAGGAACAGCAAATTTTGTGGTGGCCTCAGCCCCCCACATAGCCTCCTCCCAGTGCCACTGCTGCCTGCCCTGAGCACAGCCCAGCCCAGCCCAGCCCCCGCCGGGAACAACCCGCAGTGATATTCCATCCTGCCCCACACAGATCTGGGGGCACACCCCCCCGTGCCCTCCTGCGGTGCGTGCAGTGGCAGGAGCCACCTCCCCCCACCCCCAAGATGAGCCGTGGCTCTGTCCCAGGCTCTACCTTGGCTCCCGCCTCCAAGTGCACCCCTGGAAGGGCACAGGGGGCATGTGCCCCCAGAACTGCACGTGGGGTGGGGCGGGCTGCAGCTGTTGGCTGGGGTGGGCACTGGGCTGTCCCCAGCAGTGGCTGGGCTGGGCTGTGCTGACAGCAGGTAGCAGCGGCACTGAGAAGGCACTATTGGGGGGCACTACAGCCCCTCTCGTAGGCCTCTCCTAGCACCCTCACCACTCACCCAGAGCACAACCTGGCCCAGCCCCCTCCGGGAAGAGCCTGACCCAGTCTGCAGTAGCATCCTGCCATGCCCTGTGCAGATCTGGGGGCATATGTCCCCCATGACCTCTTGGGGTGTGCACAACGGTGGGAACTGCTTCCCATGCAGCTCAGTCTGGTGCTTTGCCACGGCTGGGCAGCCCCTGCCCCAGCCTCACTCCCTCCCCCACCGCTGGGGCCTCAAGCTGCCCCCTCCCGGTGCCCTGGCCCCTTCCCTCACAACATACTTACCAGCTGGACCCGGCTGCTGTCCTGGCCGCCTGCATGCTGCGCTGCAGCTGTGCGCACACATGCAGCATTTATCAGCCACATTATACCTGAGTACCCCCTAGGATCTTTTTAAGTACCCCTGAAGGTTCACATACCCCCGGTTGACAACCACTGCTTTAACTAAAACTCATCAAATGAGCTTTAGTTAAACCATCCCTGCTCTCCCCCAGCCCAGAGTAAATGTAAAGACGCCCTTAGTAGAGTATCTGTCAGATATGTAGACCAACCCTTGCAAACAATTGCTGCTTTTGACAGCAATGGCCTGAGTCAGAGTAAGGCCTAAACCCAAGACCCAGAAAATAAGTACTTCAGACTTGGTTGGTGAACTTGCAAAACCAAGCTCTGCATCTGAATTGTGATAATGGCCTTTCTCTCTAAGTAACAGCCAGACCCAAACTCAGGCCAGACAAGCAGCTCTGAACTTGAAATCATTCGAAATCAGGCTCTGGATGTTGAACCTGGCAATAGATTAGATTTTAAATGTAGATATTGCAAAGACTAGTGTATATTGTAGTGCTGTGAGGCTTTGTAACAAGCCCAGCATTTCTTTGTATTATATAATCTTTTCCATCCACATGTCTCTATGGGCCCTTTATCAACATTGAGCAGTTCTCAGAGGGGTGGGTAGTCACCAAGATTGCCAACTGTCAGTAAAATATTAGGCTACAAATGGCTGTCAGTAAAGTCAGTAAAAAAACTTTCACCATCAGGAAAAACACTAAGCAGTCACCATTTAACTAAAAGCTCTGATTGACAGAGCTCAGCAGCTGCATCTGGTGCCTGAGTGAAAGCACAGCACCCTTCAGGGAGCATTCTCTCACCCAAGTTCTGCTGCTCCTGCTACATTCAGGATGTCTGTAATACTGCTGGGTCACTGGTAGTCTTCTTTTGGGGGTCCATGCTAGGATGTGGTGAGTAGGTCTGGCAGGATTATGGCTGGGGGGTAGGCTGGGTGAGAGCAGCATGATGTGGGGTATAGTCAGGAGTATCAGGGTGTGAGGGTGGGGAGGGGCAGCACAGTGTAAAAGTATTGCTGCAGTCGATCAGAGCTGCCAACTTGAGAATTTTTTTTACTGCAAACTTTTTACTGACAACCAAATGCTTTTTTACTTTTTTACTATGGTTAGTGTTAAACCCCCTAGATTTGAATCCAGCCCTTCTAACTGGGGGCTGGGAATAGGGGAGCACCTGACAGAAGAGTTACATTTGCATCCTGTAAAACATATATCAGTAAAGACATGTGTCTGTACAAAAGTTTGACCACCAGTAAGAAGTTTGCAGATTGTCAGTAAAAAATTTGCTTGGGTTGGCAACCCTGGTAGTCATTACTATCTTCATTTCCCAGTTGGAGGCCCTTCTCCAAGCAGAACTATGGAAGCTACCCTTGCATTTGCAGTGAGTTTGTTTTATGTCATTGCTTTGCATTTCAGCTCCCTTGTTAGCCCGGACTTGAGCTCTCAGCTAAACACATGGGACAGTGTGGACTCTCAAGAGGGGTCTCTGGAGACTTACCCCTTTGTCAAAGGTAGCAAAGAACTTTACATATGGCTGGAAGTGCTCAGCTGCTTCTTCAAATGCCTTGTAATCTAAAAGAGGAAACAGATCAGAAAGGGAATTACAGGAAAAAATCTAAAAGTGTCTGACCATGTGGGACTTGTCAGGGGTCTGAGTGCCATTGGAGGAAGGTTGGTGTAATGTTTAAGACAAAGGCCTTGAGGTCATGCAGCCTGGGATCTATTCCTGGGTCAACTGTTGTGGTCTTGTCCAAATCTTTTCAGTGCTCTGTGCCTCAGCCTCTTCGTTTATACAATTGTGAGAATGATTCTTACTCTGCAGAGCAGAGGTCCGTCATATTTGTGGGGCATGCTGAGATTCTCATACAGGAGGTTCTAGGCAATTCAAAGTTCTACTATCAGGATCTGCTGCAGATAACAATACTGAGGCATTTCTAACTTCAAGTGACTTAAAAATAGATCTTGAATGAGTTACAGTTTATACAGATGTGCACAATTTACCAGACCTGATGAAGAATGTCTTGCATTTGAAATATTGTCTAAGTTAGGGGTAGGCTACCCCTGGCACATGTTTCAGAATGTGGCATGCAAAGGCATTTTGCTTGGCACACGCACCACAGGGCGGATGGTGTGGAAGGGCCCAGAGTTGCACTGCCACAACAAGGATCGGGCCCCCTTGTGGCTTCCCTACCATTTGTCCCTGGCACACCAACACCTTAAAAGTCAAGGTTGCGGGTGTTTTTGGCAATCTGCCCAAATACGCTGCTGACCCCTAGTCTAACTCTCCCCTAACTATGCAGTTGATCTAATGAAAGACATCTCCCTAAGAAACCCTTTCCTCTTGCATTATTCCTGGACCATCACAGCTTCAACATCATTCTAACATGGGGGTGGGCAAAATGCGGTCCATGGGCTGGATGTGGCCCACCAGGCCATTCTATCTGGCCCGCGGGGCCCCTAAAAAATTTAGAAAATTAATATTTATCTGCCCCTGGCTGCCTATCATGCGGCCCTCGATGGCTTGCCAAAACTCAGTAAGGAGCCCTCTGCCCAAAATAATTGCCCACCCCTGTTCTAACACAACCGAGATTTACCAGAGTCATTTTATGGCTGTAGGCCCTATAGGAACTACAGATCCTAGTCTGTAGTGTTGCAATGCAGCTTCTCTCATCAAAGCTGCTGTATGTACTGCTGTTTTCCCAGGTAACAACTTCTTATTGAACACAGAGATGTTGACAACCACTCTCCACCACTGAGCAGCAGATTCATCCAGGAAATACAATTACAGCTGAACTGTCCTGTTCAGCTGAATTAGGGTTTGTGGTTCTGGGGAGTTCCTGAGCATTTGCCAGGAAGGACCATGCAAGCTCTCCTAGTGTGCACTGAGTTTGTTTTATACCACTTTTGGTATTGAATTTCCAGATGGGGCAGCTTCCTCACGCAGGTGTGAGTACTGTGTGTTTAAGTGCTTTATCACAGGGATTTTACATCTTCCTTGAAAACATCCGGCATTGGTCATTGTTAGAGATCAGTGCAGGACTAGATGGACTGCTCTCTCTTTGGGTGCAGCGGGGAAGGCTTAGGAAACCAGACTAAATGTGGCCACAATCTGTTTCTGTACTGCAGCTCCTCCAATCCCAACAGCTGGGATTTATGCTTTAGCTACAGAGTTGATCTCTATTTGGTATGTGAAGGGATTCAACTGACAATGGAAACCCCCAACCTCCCAGCTGGGAGAGCCCTTGAGACTACAACTCCTTACAACCCCCAGTCAAGAATCCCTCTGTCCCCTTCCCAAAGCCCATCTAGACCAAGAAGCAGGTCTGTCTCACGTTCAGTGTCTTCTCCTTTGAAGTAGCCAATGAGTTTGATTTCCTCCTCAATGCGGTCAAAGGCCTGGAGCTCCAGCTTGCTGTTGATGATCTCCACTGGGTCCTCCAGCAGCTGCCACAACAAACATAGCTTAAAGAAAACCCACACCTGGCAGCACTGACCTCTGACAGGCTGTGTGAACTGGGGCGGAGGGCGGGGGGAAGATTTCAGCCTGCTTTCCCTTACCAAAACCCTACTCCAAGTTCCCAACTCAGCCCCAAGACAGGAAGCCAGCAGAGGTGGAATAGCTGGGACACTCTCAGAGGAAGCTGCCAGTAGGGAAGGGTAGAAGGCTGTTTGGGGGGGAAGTTGGCAGTGTGGTATAGTCCCCTTCTGTAGTCCAGAGCCCAGCCAGTGGGCGGCAGGAGGGTGAGAGAGCTGGGAAAGTGCTGGGTCATTTGCATGAAGGCAGCAAGAGCAACCAGCAGCTCTAAGGATACCCAAGAACCTGCTGTGGGGGAGATCAGAGTTAAAGGCCAGTGTGGCAGGGCACTTTGTGTTGGGACAGAGAGGAAATTAGCAACTGAGAGGGGCTGGAATAGTGGTGGCTTGAGTGGCTTTTGTGTGATTAATATCTTTGTTCTCAAATGCCATTTGAGAGGGGATGAGCCTGAAAGCTTGCAGAAAAAGATTCTTTTTTGCAATTTCTCAGTTGGTCTAATAAAAGGTATCATTTGGGAACCAAGAGTTCTAGATGTTTGCATTTGAGAGGGGAAGATGTTACAAGCAAGCCACAGATGCTAGATGCCAGGGAGATGTAAAAGGTGAGCAGGGCTGAGGCCAGCTCTTCTTGAGCAAATTTGGTGCGACTCTTCTGCCAGTGACACCAGCCTACGTCACAAGTGGCTTCAATGGTCCCAGGGGAATTAAACCAGTGTACAAGCCATGTCCGGAAGGGAGAATCAAGCCCATTTTTCCTGAGAGCCCTTTCTGCTTATGCACTGCATAATTTCTGTGTTTCTTGTCCCTAGTTTGTTTTGGATTTTCCCTCCTGAGAGAAGAGAAAAGTCTTTGTTCTCTTTCTTTTGTCACCGAATATGATTTATATGCACACAACAAAATACAGCAAACAAGTCCTCACCGAAAGTGACTTGGGCTGCATGATAAACAAGTCCTGTATGCTCAGCATGTGCGGCTCTGGCCTTCCCGTAGGTGGAAATCCAGGTTTGCAATGCTCAAGTGCTTGTGACAGAGTTGCCCCCTAGCGGCTGGCCTACCGAGAACACAAACCCTGTCATGGCAGCTGGGGCTTGTGTGCTACGGGGGAGGTCCTGGCTTTTTTCCCTAAAGCTGCTTGAATGAGGTTCAGCTGATGACTACAATCTCTTCTGTATGTTGCCACGGATACATTACAGGCTCAGAGATGGGATCCTGGAGAGACACTTCCCCTCCTCTGACTCCAGCCCTGAGTAAAACCAGAAGCAGGAGGCTGGTGGGAGGCCAGGATGCAATGACTCTCTTAGTGTGTCTGTGTTGACCCAGGACCACAGTATGCATGCGGTAGGGGTCCGTGGGATAAACATGCTGTGGCCATGAGTCTTGTCTTTCTTTTACACAAGCATCAGTTGAAAGGAGCACCACGATAGTCCAGGGAGTTATACTAGGATATACTGTTAGAAATTAAGCCCTGCTCCATATCTTTGCCACCAACTCGTCATCTCACCTACTCTGTTTTTTAAGTTGAGATGCAGTTATTCCCACTATCCCAGAAAACTAAACCCATATGCCCACTACAGTTCTGTCTTAAAAGTCTCCCCCAGTCTGCTGCGCAATCATTTCCCCCTCTGAGGTCAGGCGCCTCTTGTCTGTGACAAAACGATGAAGAGGATTATGAAGTCACAGGTAAGAGGAGTCTCACTTCAGGTGGTGTCAAACATCAGGATCTGAAATCTTCTTGGGTGAAATCAAATGATCTAGTAGAGTAATACATTTGGAGATGCGAGTTGCCTCACTGCCTCCACTGGTGAGCTTAGGGCTGCTATAAAACCATTGTATGCCTCTGTTTTTCCAGCTACAAAAAGCAGATAATGATAATCACCAAGCTTAGTAAAGCCCTGTGAATTCTTCAGAGTACAATGGGCCAAGGTAGTCCTTCTCTAAATCAGTGATCCTGTTTCATTCTCATGCCCCTCCAATGATGAGAGGGAAAACATACAGAAAGTCAGCTGGGTGAGTGACATGATTTCTGTATTTTGCAGCAAATGCCAATACTGTGTTGAGCACAGGCTCTAAAGAATTTGGCCAGTAGAATTTAGACCTATTGGATCATTTAGTCCTTTATAGATTCATAGATTCTTTCGACCCTACATCTATGAATCTATGAATCTATAAAGGACTAAGTGATCCAATAGGTCTAAATTCTACAGGCTAGATTCTCCTCTCACTCACATAGGTACAATGCTGTGATGTTCTGTGGAGTTGCACTGGTTTATTTTACCTTCATGGTTTCTACTAAAAGGAACATTTGCAAACATTTGCATATTTTGGGAAATATATGCCAAGACCTGGTCTCATCTGTGCTTACATCCAGGAGGAATTCCACTATGACATCTGTGGCCAGCTCCCCATCAAACTCAATCAAACGCTCCTCCTTAAAGATATAGAGGCTTCCTTCTTCAACCAAACCTGGAAGAAGTAGACAAAAGGGTACAACAAGGTCAGAAGGCCACAGAAAGTGTTAAGATGTTACTCAGAGGCTCAAGCCTCTTAGGGTGTCTATACACATGCTTGGGGTTGCGGTGGGGTGCATTTTAATTAGAGTGGTTCCTGGAGAGCCACTCTAATTAAAATGCTGCAGCGTCACATGTATTTAGTCCCCATGTATTTAAAAATGGCCACAGGATACTTTAATAAAGCTCATTCAACAACCTTTAGTTAAACTGTCCCAGTGGCCATTTTTAAACCCACAGGGGCTTAAACATGGGACACGGTGGTGATGCTAAAGCACGCTAATTAGAACATGGAGCAGATTTGACTAATTGAGTCTGCTCTGACATGTTTTAATTAGATTGCAACAGAGTATGTGTATAGGCACCCTTAGGGCCTTGTTATATAGTAATTTTAGATGGCTTCTGGAGCTCTTAACCCCTGGACTGGCTGCACATTAACACCTTTAAGTGGCTTAAAGCACTCATTATGCAGCTCAAAGTTATGCCACTCCAGGGCAGGATTATATCTGATCCACATAACTTTGCTCCTGTTCCATTAAGGTGTGGTCACTCCCCACAGCTGTGCCTCTAAATTTGAAGTCCTCCAGTATCCCAGGATGCCATGGCCCCTCCCCCACATGGTGTTTCTGTGTGCAGCTGAAGATGGCAACAGGCTTGAGGCAGGTCAGGGCCAGAGGGGAGGGGTGGGGCATGGGGAGCCGGAGCCAGTGCACCAGGATGCTGCTGCAGGGCAGGCAGGGCGTGGCCCAGCCCAAGAGAAAAAGGAAACCTGCATGAGGCATTGCCGAGGATGCAGAGGGCACTGCACTGGGGGGCTCCGACACTGGTCTGCACTGCCCCACTGGATTCCTCTTGCAGCAGGATGCCATGACTGGTGGGAGCATTTAGCAGCTTTGGTGGTAGCAGCGGTGGTGGGGTGGGGGGAGGAGGAGGGGAAGGTGCTGCCTTGTCACAGTGAGCCACCAGCATGTTGTCTGTGCCTGTGCTGGGCTCCAGGGGAGGCAGGTGACATTGCCAGTTACATGTTCCTGTCCCCCTCACTCCTGCAGCCCATTGCTCACATCCCTGCCCATATTGCAGGGATAGAAGCCTGTCCTAGCTCACCAGCCCTGCTCACTAGGCTTCTAGTGGCAAGTCAGTGCATGTGGGAGACAGTCTGAGAAGGTTTTGAGCTCTAAGGTGTGACTGCTTCAAACTCCAAGCCAGCACTAAGCTGATCAACATTTGTGGGGTTTACAGTGTAAGGTGTAACAGGGCCCTTATTTCCTAAGGTGTTCTGGGAAAACATGGTCAGTAGCCCACTCATGTGGGCCCATTTGCCAGTCCAGTGCAAGTTTCTAGTGGGAAACTTCTCTGAATGCTCTACTGGGAGATGTTACACCTAGGGACAAAGTTGAATAGAGACCCAGAGTTGAGAACCAAAACCATGTAACCATTTTGGTTCTCTCACAGGCTGGAACTTCATGGATTATGACTCTCCTTTAAATAGTAAGAACACTGAGGTAGGCACAGGATGTAGCTTTGTCATTCATACTGCAATTATAAAGCAAATGATAATGACAAGTAATATTGGACTCTTATCCCAAATCTGAACACCCCTTAACTTTAGGACAATTCATTTAGATGCAGACCTGGAATTTGATCTCTGTAGAGACGGCAGTCCTCCCACCTAGAGATGGTGAGATCAAGTTTGCATAGAGTAAAAACTGGCTAGGAAGCCAAAGTAAGCCCAAATTGCTTGAGGCTCATTAAGTCTTGGCATACACTTATGTGGCATCATATACATAGAATACTACCCTGCAAGCTATATATGAAGAAATGTCCCTTCACAGAAATGCAGCTGCTTCTGGGGTGGAACACATCAGCTGCTTATCTCTGTAGCAGGTCACCAGTTCTAAACCATTTTAGGTGAGGGAAGTGTTTCCCAACTGGAAGCACATGACCACCCCTGGGTGTTCACATCTAGTCTGAGGGATCCCATGATAGAGGAATAGCATGACTTCAGATCCATGATTCCTATGATAAATGTGCTCCCATGAATATAAGCCATAGAGAGACTGGCTTCTTGAAAGCCAGACCTATTGCGTCTCTTCCCTTGTTAAGAAGCAGGCTACACAATTAAGCTGCTCTCTTCTACTCTGGTGGCATTGAGCTGAGCTGCAAGAATGCATATCACCTGCTACCAGTGAGGGTTCCCAGCACTTACCGAGTTTTTTGGCAAGCTTTGCATCTTTCTTGGAATCTACCATCCCAAAGCCGATCCCTTTATCTTCCAGGACCTGGGCTGCAAGCTGTAGAGGAAATCCAGAGAGAGGATCATACATGACATGGGCACTGCAAGATAGTAAAAAGTCACCATGCCAGCTGGGAATGTCACCTCGGCAACAGGTGACCTACATTCTGGTCCCGGGCAGGGTTGATGGGTGGGTTGCATCACACACTATCTGATGCTACCTGTAGGTCACAGTGATTGTATTTCCTCCCCTGCAGTCATGGAGCTGAGTTAAATTGTGATGCCCTGAGCTGCTAATTGCTCCCAGATATTCAGGTGTTACATTCACAGCCTAAACCAGGGACACTGAAGCAGGAGACATGGCTAGAAAAAGATCTGGGTGTACTGACATGAAACAAACGCTTTCCCAAGGCCAGTGGGAATGCAACTCTTGGGGATTAGCAGGCATTTTACCTCATTGTTGCTAAATGCTAGACAATGACATGTGGAAATGAAGGGCCACATTCACTGTGAGAACGTGTCACGTCTCAGCCAGGGGCTTTCATGGGACATGGATAGCAGAAATAGAGGAAGAGAGCAGGCCAGTACCTTATTCCTTAGACATGACCCATATGTTCCTTCCTCCATTTTGTTACTGATTTTTCTCGGTCTCCCTTCCCGGCCTGTTTGAACTATTACTCTCTTGAAACACAAAATCAGCAACGTTCAGACCTAATGCTTAGGAGACATTTAACAAAGAGAGGAAAGCAGAGAACCCTGCTTCACCTGTGGCAGGTTAAGCTGTTGTGTCAGGGTTGATGGTAGTCTTATGTAGAGTTTAGATTATGGTTGTATGGGATGGTTTTGTAGGGATGATCCTGCCTTGGGCAGCGGGTTGGATTGGATGGCCTATGGAGGTCTCTTCCAGCCTTACTTCTCTATGACTCTAACTACTGTGTGTTGGGATCCAATCAAACCTTTGCAATGAAAGGCAGAGATGAGTGGGACACCAACCATAAGCAAAGTGAAACAACAACCAGCCTCAGGGAATCAGCTCCAGAAACAGCTCCTCATAGCAAAGCACAACCAGCTCCTCTTCACATCCATGTCGATCACCACCCAAATGAAAATCCTTTTCAGCTCTGCTTTGCAGAATGCCCAGGACCAGGGGTCAGCCAAAGGCACCCACAATCTTGACTTGTAAGAAGTTGGTATGCCAGGGGAGGATGGCAGGGGAGCCACAAAGGGCCCAATCTTTGTTGTGGCAGCACAGCCCTGGCTCCTTCCCTGAAGCATGAGTGCCAAGCAAAATGCCTTCACGTGCACATGTGCTGGGGGTTGCCTACGCCTGTCCTTGGCCTTAATGGGGCACTCAAAAGAGGCTGCAGACCGGCTGTAAGAGAGAATGACAAAGGAGGCCTCTGGAGCTGGTGACCTTTTTGTCCCAGTGGGTGTCAGGTTGGGGGATGGCAGGCAGAACACATGGTTTGGGAATTCCAATGTCTCAGTTGCCACGAGGCGGCTCATAAGCTAACCATGGCCACACAACCCCATCCCATGCGGGTCAGGAAGCAGGAAT